TAAAACCTGAATATTGTGCTGTATCAAGTTAGTAAAACCTGAATATTGTGCTGTATCAAGTTAGTAAAACCTGAATATTGTGCTGTATCAAGTTAGTAAAACCTGAATATTGTGCTGTACCAAGTTAGTAAAACCTGAATATTGTGCTGTGCCAAGTTAGTTAAACCTGAATATTGTGCTGTACCAAGTTAGTAAAACCTGAATGTTGTGCTGTATCAAGTTAGTAAAACCTGAATGTGAAATCAGTGAACTGTTAAAATGCTAATATTAGGTAGTATTGAAATAACATCAAGGTGAAATCAGTGAACTGTTAAAATGCTAATATTAGGAAGTATTGGAATAACATCAAGGTGAAATCAGTGAACTGTTAAAATGCTAACATTAGGTAGTATTGAAATAACATCAAGGTGAAATCAGTGAACTGTTAAAATGCTAATATTAGGTAGTATTGGAATAACATCAAGGTGAAATCAGTGAACTGTTAAAATGCTAATATTAGGTAGTATTGGAATAACATCAAGGTGAAATCAGTGAACTGTTAAAATGCTAATATTAGGAAGTATTGGAATAACATCAAGGTGAAATCAGTGAACTGTTAAAATGCTAATATTAGGTAGTATCGGAATAACATCAAGGTGAAATCAGTGAACTGTTAAAATGCTAATATTAGGTAGTATTGGAATAACATCAAGGTGAAAGTATGTAACTGTTAAAATGCTAATATTAGGTAGTATTGGACTAAGTAAACATACATAATATGAAAGATAATATTGGTTAACAGTTAAAAAGGGAAATTGGACGAGCAAGAAATGAAGTACAGCAACTTGAAAAGTCTCTTCAAGATACTGCTGGGCCAATGAAGGTGGTTCAAACCCGACTGGAAAACAGAAAGTGGCGCCCTCAAATGGAACTTTGTGGAGATTCTCCACAAGCATCACTTCGACAAGAATTTATGCAGCTTCAAGATGTCCAGTATGCTCTCCAAAAAAAGTTACAAGAAGCAAGGTTAGGGCAACTTTGATGTCATAGTAATAGTTTGTATAATTAAAGTGTTTTAGTAGCTTCAGTTCATAAACACTCGTGGTCTTTCTGATGTTATCAACAAATATAATATATCAACGAACAATCAAATCTTACCTATATAAAAGCCAGTGTGTGTCATGTCATGTTTGATTTCTCGAAATAGGAGGAGACATAAAAGTCAAAATGCATTTATCCAGATAGAATAGTTCAATTACTGTCTCCCATTACAATTTTAGTAATGGGTGGGTGCCAGGGGCTGTGAGGGTGTGTGTGTGTGTCATGAAACCTTGTAAGTGTAGTGAGTGTTGGTATAATAAGCCTAAAGTAAAGACA